AACTTAAAATCATGATGATGTGTCTGTGTCGATTATCACATATTTTACCTTTATCAAACAAGCTTATGCGATTTGCATATTGCATTTGACCATATTGCGATTTTGATCAAAACTTAATTGTGCCGCCGACATTCATTTATCTCATTATCCCATTAATCTGGACAGAAAAACTCATGAATGTTTTTCAGCTTTTCAGAAAAACTAGTGGAAGAAACGCTCCTTGAGAAAACACAGAGGAACTGAAGCTAGAGGAACAGAGGATAATTTGAAAGAGGACTCAGCTTTATACAAAGACAGTAGTTGTTGAGTTCATTGATTGATGGTTCACCACCTGATTATTCCCAGAGAACTCAGCTAAAGGCGCTTGTTCAATTTATTAGTAGCCAAGATATATTTTGGCAGGTAAAAGTGGGTCAATCTAGCCAAGGTAGGCTATGTTCAAACTGAGTAGACAGCCTTATTTTACTTTTTATTTTAGATTAAATATGATCCTTTCGCGTATTTTGCATTAGTAGGTTTTGACACTCTTGAAGTTAGGGAGGATCAACAATAAATACAAATAAATTTATCTTTCCCGCCTTAATGAATATGATGAAAACAACCATTCCTTCGGTTACGCCATCGGGACAAACGTGATTTTAGTGCTAAAGAGCTTTCAGGGTTGCATTTCCCTTTCCCATTTAAATCTATTGCAGAATACTTGTGTCCTCTCTCTCACTGAAAAGATCACATAACAAATGAATTACTTAGTTGCTTTACATTATGTTCCCTGCAATAATTACTGTAGTTTTTATAACACACACATTATTATTGTTATTATTATTATTCTGTTCATTTGTTGATGCTATTTTCCTGCTTGTTGTAATGTTGCATATTTTGAAAAGTAAAAGGCTTTCGTTCTTAGTCTGGGTGTCAGTTTCACACTGACAAACACTTCTGAGCTACAGCCAGACCAGACCAATCCATATCAGACCTGATTAATCCAGTCCAGGATCCCTCACTTAACCCATTGTCCCTTTTAGAAGTCCAGCGCTGCTCAGACCAGTTCAGCTCCTTGAAGTTAAGATCAGCTCAGTGTAGTTGTGTGAACAGTATTCAGGCTCAGCATAGATCAGTTAAACCCAGTTGAGTTCAGTTCATGTGTAAGATTCATGTGTTTCAGCAGCGTCCGGATCATCGTTCATTTTCACCTCTTTGAACTGAATTCCTTTTAAAATCTCAAGAGTTCGCGCTCATTATTTCTTTACTTTCCATAAAATGTGACCTGAAGTGGCTTAGACCCAATGAAGGAATCATCCATACATACTCCCAACACTAAAACTAAAATTCATCTTTGGTCCTCTTCAAAGATATCTTGATCCATTGCTGGGTTTAAACCTACAACCTTTACATTTCAAGCAAAAGAGGTTCGACTTTTTCTCTGCAATCAGGCTCGAAGATCCAGTCTTTCGATGTAAAGAAAAGAAATCATCCCCATTTGGGTAAGCCAAAATATCAAACCGTACGTATCATTTCTGAGCTATATCGGTCTGACAGCCGTCACCTGTTTGTAGCTATGGCCTCTGAAGGGTTGTTTGGTTGTCAACAGATCATCTCTGTCACATCTTTTTCTTAAAAGGGTCTAAAAGAGTCTAAAAGATCCTCCAACGGTCGGCAGTCCCTCAGATTCATTGCCAAGACCAATCACTCAGTTCATTCGTGGCAGGTTTACATTGAAAAATAAGACCACTGTCCTTGACAGCCATTTTTTACCCCTCCTCTCAATAATTAAGTTTATAGACCCAACGAAACAAAGCTGGTTTCGGGGTGCTGAATGTCATTCTTTGGGAGTCTTGGCATGTTTTCCGTCATCGGTCCAAGATGTACCCTCCCAGGGGTTTGTGCAGTCAGATCCAAAAGTTCAAAACTGTGCAGGAAGGCAAGTGCGTGTTGGGGTCCGAAATGCATGAAGGGGTGATTCTTATGACTCAGGAAAGCCTTCGGGAGGTTATAGTTCCTTGCCTTTGATTTTTGCTTGATTTCCCAGCTCCAGTTGGCGGCTGTCTCCCATATGGGATGCCATTTTGTCCCCATTTCCATGTAATCCACAAAATGGTGAGCAAAAGTAACCAGCAGGTACTCAACGTATCCTTCTGAGAAGTCTTTGTCCCCGAAATCTCAGCTAGCAGTGCCCCGGGTTCAGGATCAGAGGTTTAAAGGGAGTTCATGGGGAGGTTGGCTGGTGGGGCGGAGGGGAGGGTGTCGAGGGGGAGGTTGCGGGCGTGGTCAGAGGTTATAAGGAGGAGATTTTGACAGTGTCGTGGGTGTAGGCGGTGGCCCGGGTGTTGCGTAGGATGCCTGGTATGGGGGCGGGCGATGGGGGGAGGCTCTCATCAGGTGTGTTGGCGGGCGGCGTGGGGATGCTGATAATGGCAGCAGTGAAATCTGGTTCCCCACAGTTCAGCTTCAGGTCACCCATCTGGGCGTTCAGACTGGAACGACTGGGGAGACAAACACAAAGAGTAAGAGAGAAATCACAATATTTGTCAGTTATTTAACAAAGTAACATCCTGTTCGTCTTTTTTTTTGTGTTTTATTCTGGTCATTTGGTCATTTCAGCTTTCTCCCACCATTATCCACACCAGTGCTGCCCCTGGTCTTGCCCTCAGTTCAACCCTTATATATCCATAGTATTATACAGCTTTCTCTTCTTGTTGCCAGATTGTCTTTATTCTACTTTGTGTGTTCATCAATCTCCAGCTATTTTCTAGTAACTTTTATATTCCTTGTGTGGATTTGCTCATTCTGGACTGATTTTCTGTGTTTCTGCCTGGTTCTCCAGTGAAGATGGTGACTTTTTGTCCTGTGCTTCTCTCTGCATCTCAGTCTTTGTTAAACCAGAAATCTTTACAATCAACAACAATTTCTGCATTTAAATTTGGTGTACATTGAGGCTCTGCATTTGGCCCACTGCTGTTTATATTTATCTCTTGTGGTTTATCTATTTGCGTACATCTTCATGTATGTTTTAACGGTCAGTAAACATTATCTCTACTTACGTTTGTGGTGGTATGGAGGTGGTTTTGACGTGCAGGGTGTCCAGCTCCTGGACGCTCCCCCGGCTGACGGAGACCGTGGAGTTAGCCAGTCGCATGGCCGCTCTCCTCCTGGCCCGGCGGGGGCAGCAGCCAGTGGAGTTGTTCTGCGCCCCCTGCTGGCTGGACAGGGAGGTGCTGCGACTGGTCCTGTAGCCCACCGACTCTGTCATACACAGCTCACTATAGGTCATCTCATTAGTGAACTCGTGGTTCTGTGGGGAGAGAGCGCAGGTCAGACAGATCCTGAGGAGAATATACTAACAAGCTGTTGGTTTAGACGCTGACATTGACATTGAAAAGTTTAATTGAAAGAAGATTAAAGGATTTAAAAGTTTTGTTTTCAATCTCAACCTTTAACATGATTTAGAAGTGCTCAATGAATTGTTAATTTTGAAATCTACAATTTTATGACAAAATATCATAAAGAGTTATTGAACAGATACTAAATGGAACTCTTATTTCTAAGGTCAATAATGTAGATCACTGGTTCCCAACCTGGGGGTCCCGACCGCCACTTCTTGATTTTAAAGGTTGTAAGAAAACTTATATCGCCTATATCTCAACATTTCATTACATTCTGTGAAGAAAACTAAATTAAATGTAGTTTTTTAGTTTAAAGTTTAGATTATTATTAAGATATAAACCTAAATGAACTGCATTAGGAAAGTATGCAGTTAAAACAACTGAGGAGCTGGTAGAAAAATAAGAAGAAAACTGAATTTTTCAAAAAAGAAGCCTATTAACTCTGTATGATTGTTAAAAATTATAAAAATTCATAAGACAGACAGAGAATGGTACATTAATATCAGTACCTCTGATCAATATTCACAGGAAATAATCAGCTAAATATTCATCCAAATCTCTGGTTTTACACAAACTTCCTGCAGTTATTGTGTTCACTGTTTATGTTCATTGTACATTTTATCAGCTGTTCCCTACTGTTATTGTTAATATTGAATATAATATGAAAAAGGGAAGATGAACTTTCCTTCTATTAAGCAAACTGAAATTGTGTGACTTTGAGTTTATATTAAGACTGCACGCAAATAAAGAAAGTCTGGAGGTATTTTTAAACTCCGCTAGTGTCTAAAAATGTAGGAGCAGATGGAAATATAAAGTTCAGATCTGTCTGTATATGATGTGACTGATGAAACGACTCAGCTCACCGTTGTCTTTTCCAGACAGTGCAGCAGGTGGTGGTGTTGATGCTCGAATGCTGATCTGTTCTTCACACACAGAGCCGTGCTGTCACTGTCCCGGTCCTGAACACACACACACACAAAAAAAAACATGCACAAATCATTTTCATTAATGAATTACAGCCTCATTGTTTCAAGTCAGAAGTTGATAATTTCACATTAAGGAAATCCCATCAGTCATTTCATACTAGACTGAGCATCCTTACACAAGTTTGGGGATAACAGATTACATGTAGTTATGTAATCAGGATACAAAAAAAGGGGAAAAAAGAAGTAGTCAGATTACGGTTACATTTAGTAAAATGGGGATTATTAGAGGGGTTATAAAATAAGGCTCAACTCCCATTAAAACGGAAGCTGAATCCTTAATAAAAATTCACAATGAATCTACACAGGTGGAATTAATAACAGGTTATCCTGACCGGCAGTGAAGCAGCCACGGACAGGTGGATGTGACTCTGTGCCTGTACCTGTAGCTTCCCCTGTTGGAACGTACCTGGGATGACGGTTGTGATAACCTATTAATAATGTGATCAGGCACATTCCTTCTCTCTAAGCAGAGGTACCTCAACCTTTCCCAAAACTGAAGCTTAATGGTGGCCTTGCTTTTATTCTATTCTAGTTTAAAATGTTTCTGTTTATACATGTGCTGTGTTTATAGCACAGAGGGACAGTTTGTTTAATATCGCAGCAGCTGAATAAGCTTGAAATTTGATGTTATTTTGGGGTAAAAACCTTAATTTAATGAGCATATTTTCAAGATGTAACTGCTTCTACAGGGGCCTTCTGCTTCTCGAGGGGAGGGAAGAAGCTGCTCTGTAATCTGATGGTACGACAGCGGACACTTTTGTATCGCTTGCCAGCCTTTTTATTTCTTGCTTTAGTGCTACTTTTATACACTTTGTTCTAATTTATTGCCTATTTTGTTGTTTGATTCTATTCTAGTTCAGAACAAACTTTCACTAGTTGGGAAAGTCTCCGTTTGTTCATGTTAATACGAGACAGAACTAATGTTGAAAGTTGTGATAAATCCTGAGAATCCTCTACATTAAAACTTCACTAAACTTTCCCGACTGAAGGCCAGTCGACATATAATAATAATAATCTTTAAGTCTCTCGTTTAATCTCATCTCTCTCTTTTTCTTCACCACCAAACTAATCTCTTCTTTTCCTTTTCTTCATCTCTTTGTCTCCTTCCTCCTCTCCATTTCTCCATCCAGTATGATGTTTCAGAAACAGAAACAGGAAGTCTGATCCTCCTCTCTTCATTTTCTTCATCCTCTTATTTTCTCCTCTCTCTTCTTCTGATGCACCCTCTCCATTCCTCCTCCTCCTCCTCTTCACCCTCATTATGCACTCTTTAAATCCAGCAGTCCTGTCGGAGAGGGATTAGGACTCAACAATATCTGTGTGTGAGAGAGAGATCCACTCTCTACCTGCAGTAGCTATTTTACTGATAAAACATTGAAACCCAGTGAATGTTTCATCCCCTTACTAGAAAAAAAACTGAGTCGTGATGAAGCTGAAAGATGAAAATCGATGTCATGTTCACAGACTTCACCAGAACATCAACAGTTTTAATTCAAACTAGGCTATAAAGCTATGAATGTAATCCCAATCCGTCTGATAGTTGTTGAGGTATTTTAGTGTGTGGACCAGAGGGTTGGGCCGACCTGCTCCTCATTGAACTCGTACAGGATCCTGAAACTTCAGTCTTTAAATGTGTGCATTTTGTGTCTTTGTTTGTTTTTTCAAAGAGATATCAGTCCCATCCAGTCTGTGTGTTTATCTCTGTCTGTGCACTAATGGAGCTGATCTGGTTCCACTGTTGTTTTGCCAAGTTGCTGTACTGTGATGTTCTTGTTATTGGTTGAGCTGCTGAGCCAGCAGCTCCTCATCTGTCTGTCTGTCTGTCTGTCTGTCTGTGTCTTTATCAAAGTCTGTCTCATTGTTTCCGCAATTGATTTTTACTCTTTCTGTCTCTCTGTGGTTTTCACATGGTCACATACAAAAAATAAGATTCATAGTCAACTGGCAGCCTGCAGGCCAGACCGGCCCACCAAAGCTTCCTAAAGCATTTAACTACAGAAACACAAACTGACTTTTATTATATTTGTCCGTCAGCTTGAACCGTTTATCTAAAACGTGTCTACGAAATAATTTGTCAGCAATATTTTTTGTCAGCGGATCAGTTTAAAATCTGTCAGGGAGTAATGGGACAAGAAGGAGCCACGGTGAGCGGTTAGAGGAGTTAATGAGCTGCATACCTCCAACCTGTCAGCCAGGTAACCAAAGTTACTTTTACTTTCACTGTTCGTAGACTCGAGGCCGAAACACACCGGCACCGCACCCGTAACTGATGGTATGGTATTATTAGCTTAAATCACGTATGGACAAACTCACCTGAAGAGCCTATCTCCAGAGCTCTGACGTACCAGGTAATGTTTGCCAATATAATATATAATTTCAGGCGTGGCGACGTGTGATATTCATAGTGACGACTCACACAACAAGGCTTTATTCTTCTGCCCGCCAGCTGACTTAACGGTAGTGACTGCCGACTGTTGTTCTGTCTGGTGGGAGGTTACTGACTACATTATTTGTCTGTTTGTCATGTTGTGGCTGATAAACAAAAGATGTCTTCAGACACGTCTACAGGCCGCCTCTTCAGCGTAGCTGCTGTGGAACTGTGTTCTTGCTTTTTGGGAGGGTGGTGAAAAAGTTTATGAGCTCTGTATAACACGATGCTTATGCCTAAATTTCCTGTTGAATAGAACAGAATATATATATATATATATATATATATTATATATATATATATATACATGACTGATGACTTT